CCCATGTCTAGACACTCCCTTTCTTTTCACTGAGTACAGCTCTGGGCTCAAAGGGCACCAGTAAGTGTTCCTCTCTCAGGGACAGCAGCGTGATTTTCTTTTACATTCCCAGCAGCGCACATTAGTCGGACAAGGTGATCCGAACCTGGGGAAGAAAAAAGACAGCAAAGAATGAAGCAGCGGGGAAGCTGCTGGAATTAGGGCAGTGTTTTTAACCCTTTATTAATGATTCTTCCTTCTCTCCTAGGTCGCAGAGGCAGTTCTTGCCAGCGGAGAGAAATTACCTGCAGATGTGGTAGTGGTGGGAATAGGTAAGGGGCCCCAGTTGGGAGAGCGAGGCACTTTGGGAATGGAGGGAACAGCCAGCAAGCCCAGAGCACCACAGTTCATTCCCAGGACACCATTCCCTGCAGCCTCTTTCTTGTTCTGTTATCACCCAGCCTTTCCTCCTGGCCCCAAACATCTGGAGAAAGTCAGCAGCTCATGAGCAAGCACTTGGCCTTGAAGAAAGGGAGCCAGTTACACTCCCAGAGCGCCTTTGGCTCACTTGCTGAGCTCCATAGGTCACTGCTGCGTTACTGGAGCGTGCCGTGTCCTGGGCCCTGGTTTTATTGCCCCTGGATTAGCTCAGCACCAGCCCAAGCACAACTCGTGCTGTGATTGCTGAACAGAGCGAGTGCTCTGCTCTGAGCAGGCACCACAGGCATTTCCTCCCTGCCTTTTTTTCTTGCTCCTCTCCCTGTAGGGTCAACCCCCAACTCAGCATTTCTGAAGGGCACCTCCATTGCCAGAGATGACAAAGGTGCCATCCTGGTGGATCTGGTGAGTGCCAGCTGAGTAACCCAGGTCCAACCCCATCCCTTCACTCTCATCCTTGCACTAACTGCTCTTTGTCCCATTAGCACATGCAAACCAACATCCCAAACGTCTTCGCTGCGGGGGACGTGGTGTCCTTTCCAGTAGCACTGCTCAACGGGGACCACTCCAGCATCCATCACCAACAAGTGGCTGAGGCCCATGGTGAGAGCTCAGCCACCTCACTTTCCAGCTCCCCTGGAGGAGGGAATGGGGCAGAAGGGACAGGGCGGGATAACGAGAGGCAGTGAACACTTCTTTGAGCACCTTCTAGAAAAGTATTTCCCCTGTTGGCTCATCACAGGTCACTGTGCTGCCTTAAACATGCTGAAGAAAGAGAAGGACTTGCACACTGTTCCCTTCTTCTGGACCACACTGTTCGGGAAAAGCATCCGCTATGCAGGTAGGAGGTGGCAGAGAGATGGGAACAGCAGAACTGCTTGCCTGCCCATTGCTCACCTACCAGCTGGGTCTGGGGCTTGTAAACATGGTGGTTGCAGAGTTCACCTGAAACACCTCGAGTTTTGGACCGGCTGCCATGGCGAGTTCGAGCTCTGGGCCTGAACGTTACCCAGAGCTCTCGTTCTTTGCTGATCTCGAGTGGCTTAGAGGTCACGAAGGAGGAAGAACCTCCCTCTCCAAGCCAAGGAAAGGCTCAGGGTCATAATGCAGTCACGCAGCTCTGAATCAGTTCTGCTTGTCCGGGGACTTCATGCCTGCTCCCCAGCCCGTCACTGTCCCCTCTGTCCCTACCTGCGATGGCTCCGAGGTATGGGAGAGGTGGCAGCTGCTGTGCCAGGGCTCCCCAAGCAGGCTGTGACACTCTCTCTCACAGGCTGTGGAAAGGGATACACGGACACTGTTGTGAAGGGCAGCCTGGAGCAACAGAAATTCCTGATCTTCTACCTCAGGTGAGTGAATCCATAGCCAGTCCATGCCCTGACAAGGCAGTACTGTGGGAACAGGGCAAGGTTCTCTTCCTTACAGCCTGCAGAGATCCTGCAGAGGCTCCACATCACCTCCTGTGGCTGCTGGGCGCTGAACCAGCAGCGAGACGGTTCCAGAGAAAACCAAAGCAGGGCAGGGAAGGAGAAGAGGATGAGCTTCAACGAAGACACCAGCTGGGCAGGGAGCCTGGGACACGTCTCCTCTCCCTCTGCCCCGCTGCTCCCAGGCTCGGTGCCCAGCTCCCAGCAGTGCCAGGCGATCTGCCACACGCCCCGTGCATCCTGCAGCACCAGCCACTCTGCCCTGAGCCCCCTGAAATAGAGCTGGTCTCCAGTCAGGGTGCCACGAGGACGCTGCCGTGCTGAGCTGTGTACACTGAGGAGATCCACATTCTTCCTCTTTCCCTCTCAGGAACGGCCATGTGACAGCAGCTGCCAGCCTGAACTGCGACCCCATGGTGTCTCTCATTGCAGAAGTTTTATACTTGGGGAAACTAATCTCCAAAGAAGAAGCAGAGTAAGTGACAGCCTGGCCGAGCTGGTGGGTGGCTCTGTGCTGTTCCCCACGCCAGCAGAGCCCACTGAGAGACACGAAGCCCGGATGAGTTTTGGCAAATCCCCAACCTACCTCTTGTTTGCAGGGCCTGCGACATAGGCAACATACCCTCGCTGGCACACACCTGAGCTTGGTACCTGCCCCTGTCAGGGGCACACATCCAAGGGTTAACAGCTCCACATCCTCCTGTCCCAGAGAAATAAAACCATCAGCAAAGCTGAAATCAGCGCCTGCATTTTGTGTTTGCAGACTCGCTCCTCGCTTGTGTGCTTGGGCAAAGCACAGCAGAGCTTTCCCTCTTCGTCTAATGATCTGCTGGGCTGGAAAAGAGGAGGATGCCCATGGCCTGAGGCTTAGTTGGGAGTCTGTGCAGGCAGCAGCCACCACACATCCACCCGCCACAGATAAAACCAGCTCCTCCTGTTCCTCCCCTGTTGGCAGGGAGCTTTCATCCAGCACACCGGTCACGCTGACCTTCTCGTTTGCAAAAGCACATTTCCCCAGCAAGGGGAGCTGTGAGCGAGACAAGCTGCTCTCCCGCCTGGGAACGGGGTGGTCTGTACGCAGGAACTCGCACGGAATACCCTGCCCCTGAAGACAGAAACGCCACCCGACCTCTGAGCCAGCAGCACCTGCTGGCATTGTCACTGCCGCCTTGAATATTGCATTAGCTGCCGCAGAGAGCGCTTCCCACCCCTGACAGCAGCCAGCCTCCGGCAGAGAAATCCCAGCTCCAGTCAGCATCACCTCTCCTGCCACGTCCCTGCGTGCTGGATGCTTCGGGGAGGTGGACAGATGCTGGGGGAAAGAGTCGCTGGGATTTTTGCAAGGCAACAGCGAACGAGGCTGTGCTTTCTACAGGAAACCCTGCACTTACTCAGCAGTCACATGGGGCTTTGAAGGAGGAAGGGTAAGTCCCAGGAGCCGGGCAAGTTCCCACAGGGACACTTACTGTCAGCCTAAACCCCCTCTGGTTTTTACAGGAGCTGCAGGGTAGCCAGAGCCCGGGCTGGTGAGATACTGCAGAGCTGGTTTTGTGTTAAATACACAAACTTGCCCTCTGGCACCTTCTTGAGTATGAATTTGACCTGAAACACAACGTTCTGCATTTCCTGACCCTGCGGGCTCTGTGCTTCTGCTCAGGGCAACTCTCTGCCCTGAAATAGCCACATCTTACCGTGGGGTTTCAGCAGCACAGGTTGTTCCTTCACTGACAAATCTATGCATTCCCTGTACCCCAAAGCACACAAGGCCAGAGGTGCTGGTGGCCAGAGCACCAGCTTCCATTCCTATCAAGCTGTGCTGCATGGGAAGGGGAGCACAGCCCAGGAAGCTGCTCCTCCCTGCCCTTGGGCACCCTGCACACACATACACCCCCCCACGACTTTCTGCCCCCTCAGTGCACTCCAGGAGGTGCTGGCCACTGAGCAGGTGCCAGTTGTTTTGTACGGACTTGCAGCAGGGCAGCTGTGGTGGAAGAGACGAGCTGGAGGAACTAATCCCGAGGGGGTTCAGCAGCCCCACACCCCCTGGGTGACAACCACTCCAAAGAAATTCAGCTTCTCGTAGCCATCAGGGAGCACACACCAAGAAGAGCAGCTTAATGGAAGAAGAAAAGACCCCAGGACAACAAACAGATTTGCTCCACTTCTACCACTTAATGGACACCAGGCTGCTTTCTGTGCTTTGCTGGGTGCCAAAGACTGGGAACAGCCCTGCCTTGGGCGGCTGGAGCCCAGGCAGGCAGATTTAGTTGAGATTGTGCAGACATTTCAGCACAGGCCGTTCCTCCCTGCCCGCCCTCGGAGCTGGGATGAGCTGTGCTCTTCCTGGCAGGCCCCGAGCAGCAGTGCCTGGACACTCCCCTGATTCCCAGCCACCAAGGCAGCCTGGGGGGTGGTGGTCCTGGCAGACCCGTGGGAAAGGCACCTCCTGGAGTGCAGAGGCTCCCTGGAGCCCTTGCTGTGGCTGTGCAGAGCTCATCTCTCACTCAGTGCAAGGCAGGGAAGGGTCTCCATCCCTGGAGAGCAGCTTCCAGGTTCCTTTCGGGGCAGTCTTCTGCTTCTGTCCACCAACGAGGCAGAGCTTGGACCATGGAGGAGCCCAGCAAGATTCACCTGGGCCCCTCTCAGTGCTGCTGGCTCCAAAATACCTGGAATCCTGGTGCTGCCCCAGGGCCAGCCACAGTCGGGGCTGCCCAGCCTCGCAGGACAGACAGTTGTTCCCGGAACAGCCGTCCAGAGCTCCAGAGTCACGCGTGACTCGGCCCTGAGTCACCCTCTCCCAGCGGCCCGGTCCCACCGCACCCGGCCCCGACCCACACCAGGGCAGCGTGGGTGTGCAGCCAGCCCTCTCCTCAGGCTCCATTCCACTGCCTGGCGTGTTGCAGGATTAACCCAGCTCCTGAGCTCAACAGCAGGTCAGACCTGTGGGCTACGCCCAGCCTTGGCTCACCTCTTTGGCTCAGGACAAACCCAGAGGACCCAAACAACCAACCCTCCTCTGCAGACCCCAATTTGGCATCAGGGATTGAGCTCTGGTGCTGTGGCCCCTCCAGCATCCCAAAGGGTCTACAACCCCCACCATCTACCCATCAGGCAACTCCAGGCACCCCGTGGGCAACAAACTTCCTAAAACTGAACTGTTGAGCAAAACAGAAAGTTTAATGCCTCTTTCGGTCTCCTCTCAGCTCAGTGCCACCCCACTGAGGGGGACCCCACTTGACAGGGCTGCCTGGCAATCCCCCAGCCAAGGGTCTGTCTGGAGGCTGTGGGAAGACTTCTTCATCCCAGCTGGACTCATCCTCAGCCCTCAAATCCACAGGACGCTGCAGACTGGCTCATCCTGGTCGCTCAGGGCTCGGGTCTGGCTGGCATCCAAGGTCCCGGTGACAAGAAGAGAGTGGCTACATTCAACAGTTCTTCAACTGGCAGCTTTAGCTACTGGAGAAGGACATAAAGCTTGCCACTGAAGAACTGGTGCTGGTTAGCCAGGAGCAGGGGGCGGCATGGAAGCACCTGGAAAGGGAACACATAGATCAGAGACAGGATCAAACCATGCTGAGCTGTTACCCACAGCAGTCAGGGCTGCTCCTCTCCCCCCCCACCAACACCAGGTCCTGATCTACCACCTTGCCTTCCCCCTCAAAGAAGCTCCTCGGGGCTGAAACCCCCCCCCCCCCCATCACACAGAATCCAGAGGCAGCTCCAACCTCAACCTTTCTCTCTCCCAAAGCAGGTGGTATGTGAGCTCCACCACCTGCAGCCGGCCCTAACCCACGAGCGACGGGAAACCCAAGGCCGTTTCTGCTGGAAAAATAAGAGAGAAGGCAGCCTGCTCCAGGCAGGGCAGGGAGGCCACTGCAGGTAGGGGTTATGGCATTCCCTGTCGGCTCACCTCGGGCATCCATCGGCGCTGGCAGGGTCCCACCTGGCCCAGGGCCAGCAACCTCCTGACGGGGAAGACACTTTGTCAGGCGGCTGCTGCCAAGCCACCAGTGGGGGAATTTTGGGGAGTGTAGCTTTTTTTTCCCCACTCCCTCCCACCCCAAGTCATTTTGTTGGAGGGCAAGGACAGTGGTGTGAGACCCCACTGCTCCCCCTTCGGCCCGGGAAAAGTCCCCTTTCCACCCCAAGCCAGCTTTTTTGGCTGGTTGGGGGTTGAGTTTCGAGGAAACCCCCCCCAAGGCAACCGGGCCTGATGGGGTGAACAGACGGAGCCGGTGGGGGCACAGACAGCACCGGGAAACTCCCTGGGGACCACCACAACATCCTCCCGCCGGCGTCACGCCACAGACACGGGGGACCTCGGCTGGCCCCGGGCCTCGGTGGGCGGCGGGAGCGGCCAGACCCCGGCTGGGGGTTGCGGAGAGGCTCCCGGTGCGGGGCGCAGCGGCGGCGGCGGGGCCCGGCGGGGATGCCGAGCATTCCTGGCGTGCCGGGTACATCTGGTCCGGATTCCAGCGAGCTGGTCCCGGCCCTGCTCCACCCCCGCCGGCCCGTGAATCAGCACCCGCCGCTGAGCCACCGGCCCCGCCGGCACCGGGGGCTGACTGGGGGAGGGCTGACGGTAACACGGCTCCCACCCACCCCTCCTCGGCACCCACAGACCCCACCGGCTCTGGGAGGGGTCCCGCTGGGAGCTCGCCCCGCTAATAAAACCCGCTGTGCCCGCAGCCGGTGCCCCCCTCCCGGTATAACCGGGTCACTCCCCTCCACCAGAGCCTCCCCTCCCGGTAAAACCAACTCCCCCCATCCCCCTCTAACCGAGACCGCTCCCCGCCACCACCACTACACGGCTAAGCCACGACCACTCCCTCCGCTCCCCCCAGACCCCCCCGCCGGCCCTCCCGCCCCTCCGCCGCCCGGGATGCTCCGGCCCGTGCCCGCGGCGGGAGCGGCCTCAGGTCAAAGTCTGCCCAGACTGGTCCCGGAGTGAAGGTCACCCCCGGGGCGGCCACCGCCCGTCGCAGGGAGGCCCCGGCCACGGCCCCGCCCGCCCCACCGGGATACCCCCCGGCGCGGGGGCCGTGCATCGGCCCCGGCCCCAAATCCCCCCCGTACCGCGCCCCGACACCACCGGGGGCGAGGCCGCCCGGCGCGGGCGGTGCCGCGGGAGAGACGGGACGCGCCGAGCCGGACCGGGCCCCCACTGCCGCCCTGCCCCGGGGGGAAGGTCACCTTCTCTTACCGTGCCTTCCCGTCCCCGGTGGGGCGCAGCCCATAGACCCCCCGGCGCACCGGCGGGGGACTCGGCCACTCTTACCGCGCGCCTCATTGCCGTGCCGGCGGACCCACCTGCGGGTCTGGTCCCCCCGGTGGCGGCCGGGCCGTGGCGGTTCCCCGTGCCCGGTGCCGGTCCCCGTGCCCGGTGCCGCCTCCCCCGCCGCGCCGGCTCCGTCCCGGATCAGCTGGCGGAGTCATGACGCAGCCGCCCCCGACCCCGCCCCTCGGCCTCCGGCCCCGCCCCCGGGCCAATCGCCGGTCGGCCCGGCCGCCGCGCTCCGCGCCCGCCCCCGCCCTGCGATTGACGCTCTCTCCCGCCAATGGAGACCCGGCGCGACCCGCCGCCCGGCCAATGGGGAGGTGGAAACGCCGCTCCGCCCCGCCCATCGCGCTGGGGGAGAGTCTGGCTCCCGCCTCGCCCGCCGGCGGTTGCCTTGGAAACGGGCGGGCCGCCGAGAGGCATGCCGGGAGATGTAGTGCGGCGCTGCACTCCCGGCATGCCCCGCGTGCTGTGAGTTGGCATTTTCAAGAGGGGGGAAGGGACGGCGGGGCCGGGGCGGCCCCAGAGGGGCCCGACCCTCCCACGGGCCCCGGGCGGGACGCAGCGCTGCCGCGGAGGCCGCCCCCGGGCGGCGCCTTCCAGCGCCCGGGGCCGGTGACACAGCCCCGATTCCGAGAAGTTGCTCCAAGTCCTCGGACCAATCAGAAGTGAGCGCTCGGAGCGCGCGCCAATGGGCTGGCGCGGGGGCGTGGCCGCGGGGACTCGGGTGACCCCGATGACTTGGCAGCGCCACGCGATGACTGGACAACTTCTTTAAAGGGGCCGCGCCCGCCGCGGGCGGCGGGGGAAGGGAGAGCGCAGGGCACCAACAGCCAGCCCAGCTGAGCTCAGCTGAGCTCAGCCCAGCCCGGCCAGCCGGATCTGAACGGTTCACCTGCTGTCCCGCCCTCAGCCACCACGCTGCAGTTCCCTCCCCGGGTGCTCAGCCGGTGGGGTCAGCGGGTGCCGGAGGTGGGATGCCCCTTTAAAGCCATCTCCTGCCCTTCGCCCCAGTAACAGCTGATTGCAGCGGGCCAGGCCGGGCAGGCCAATGAGCGGCCGCCACGTCTCGCCCACGTGATGCCCCACGCGCCGCCGCGCCATGCGGCGCTGCCCGGCGGGAGCCCCCGGCGCCCCTTAAAGGGGCCGCCCGCCGTGCGCCCGCCCGTGGCTGCCCCGCCGGTGTCCCCCGCAGGCATCTCCGCAGCCCCGGCACCCCCGTAGGGGGCGGCGGCGGGCGGACCCGGCTCGGCTCAAAGGCAGCGGAGTTGGGCAGAGCCAAGCGGGAGAGTCCAAGGGTGGCAGGGCCGGGCCGTCCCCATTCCTCTTTACCGGCACTCACCTGCCGCCGGTGGGTGGGGTGGAGACCCCTTTAAGAGCGGCCGCCCCGTCAGCGCGGCTCGCCCGGCTCCAGCTGACAGCCCGGGGCGCCTCTGACGTCACGGTGACGTCACGCCCCCCCCTGCGTCCCCGCCGTGTCCCGCCCCGCCGCTGCCCATGCCCGGCCCCGGCCCCGCGCCCCGGCCCCGCCGCACCGCCCCGCGCCCGCCCCGGGGAGCCCCGGCCCGGCCCCGCGCGGGCCCCGCGGGCCGCAGGTGCCGGCCCTCCCCGCGCACATGGCCGCATGTGACCGCCGTCACCTGACCAACATGGCCGGGGCCGCCCCCGCCGCGCCGCCGCCAGGTAACGCGGGGCCGCCGGGGCGGTGAGGGATCCCCCCACTGCGCGGGGTGAGGGCTCACGGGGGCGGCCCTCGGGCCTGCGGGGCTCAGTCCGGCTCCGCACTCCCTCCCCTCCCCGGGGCGAGGGCCCCGCGGGGCGCGGGGCCGCGTCTCTGGCCGTGGCCGTGGCCGTGGCCGTGGGTCAGTGCTGGGGATGCGCTCCTTGCTCTGGGCATCCTCAGCGCCACCCCCGGGGCCAGGGTGTACCCCCCACCAGCCCTGGGGGTGCAGGTGACCCACTGTGCGTCCCCTAGCCCCAAGTCCCATCAAGTTCTCGCCACCAGCCCTTGAGGCTCCAGATGTCCCGTCGTGTCCCTCGCTCGAGGGTGGGGCTGCGGAGGTGCCGCTGTGGCCCTCCCACCGCCTGCAGAGGTCCCATCATATCCCCTTCCCCAGCAGTCTTTTCAGGTCTCACCATGCCCCCACACTGATCCCTTCCCCAGCACTCGGACCCATCATGTGCATATCCCATCGTGTTCCCCTCCCTGTGTAAACCCCACCGTGTCCCCGTGCTTGGCTGCAGAGGTCCCATGTTGTCCCTCCCTGCCGGGGTTGGTCTCTTCTCAACCCCCACATCCTGACACAGCGACCAAGCCCTTAAAACAGCCTTTTTTTCTTTGCCCGGGGTGCCAATGGGGAAGTGAGACTTGCCGCGTGACAGGGAGGGCAGGACGGTTCTGCCCTGCTCTGCTTACTCACAGCCCCTCTGGGCCACCTTCCTCCCAGCAGGAGCCGACATGGAGAGCTTCCTGCAGAGCGTGGAGAGGGACCTGAGCATCGACCGCCGGCAGCTGGCCGCCGCCACCGACAGGACCCACGTCACCGCCTTCGTCCCCACGAAATGGCTCTCCAGCCTCCGGGAGCGCCGGGCTCTGCCCGCCCTGTGCCCACGACCGGAGGGGCTGAGCGAGGTGGAGGTGAGGACGTTCCTGCAGCACTCGGTGCAGAAGCTGCCCGCGGGCTGGACCCGGGTGGAGATCCACGGGCTGCGGAAGGACCGCCTGAGGTACCTGCTGCGGGTGCAGCCCCCCAGCTCTGACAGCCCGGAGACCCTGCACGGCTTCATGCAGAGCGTGGCCACTCAGAACTACCGCAACCTGTGGTGCCGGGCCCACGCCCGCTACGCGCGGCCCTACCAGCACGCGGATGCGCCGCCCACCGTGCCGGCCCTGGATGCCCTCCGGGCTGCCCTGCAGAAGGCGTATGGCTGCCCCGTCCTCCAGGTGGGCAGGAACGTGCACAGTGCTTCCCCCGCCAAGGAGAGCCCGGCGGCCACCAAAGGGGTACCCTCCTGCCCCAACGTGCTGCAGGCGGAAGCGCTGCTGGAGTCGGCCGACACGCTCTACGTCGTCTACCCTTACGTGCAGTACTGCCTGCACGACATCGTGACGTTCAGCCCGGCCAAGCTCACCAACAGCCACGCCAAAATCCTCTTCCTCCTCTTCCACGTGCTGCAGGCCATGAGGGCTTGTCACCAGGCGGGTCTGGCTTGCGGCGCCTTTTCGCTTCGGGACGTGGCTGTGGATGAGAAGCTGTGCAGCCGCCTGCGTGTGAACTTCAGAGAGTACGAGGGACCGAGGGAGGAGGAGGTGAACCTGGAGGCTGGTGTGGAACGAGTGAGTGAGCAAAGCCATGTTGGGCAGGAGGCGAGGTGCACCACCTGCCAGAAGGACCTCCGAGACCTGGTGTTGCAGTGGGTGCACGGGCAGGTCAGCAACTTTGACTACCTTATGCGTCTGAACAGTTTGGCTGGGAGGAGAATGGGAGACCCCAACTACCACCCGGTTCTTCCGTGGGTGGTGGACTTCACCACCAAAAACGGCAAGTTCAGGGACCTAAGGAAATCCAAGTTCCGTCTCAACAAGGGAGACAAGCAGCTGGACTTCACCTATGAGATGACCAAGCAGGCATTCGTTGCCGGGGGGTCGAGTGGGGAGCAGCTCCACGTCCCCCATCACATCTCCGATGTCCTCTCAGATATCACCTACTACGTGTACACGGCTCGGAGGACACCCAAGGCAGTGCTGTGCTGCCACGTGAGGTCCCAGTGGGAGCCCAACGAGTATCCAGCCAGCATGGAGCGCATGCAGAGCTGGACCCCGGATGAGTGCATCCCGGAGTTTTACACAGACCCCTCCATCTTCCGATCCATCCACCCGGACATGCCTGACCTGGACGTGCCGTCGTGGTGTAGCTCCTACGAGGAGTTCATCGAAGTTCACCGGATGCTGCTTGAGAGCAGGGAGGTCTCCCAGGACCTCCACCACTGGATCGACCTCACGTTCGGGTACAAGCTGCTGGGGAAGGATGCAGTCAAGGAGAAGAACGTCTGCCTCCATCTAGTCGACAACCACACACATCTGACGACCTACGGGGTGGTGCAGCTGTTCGACCAGCCGCACCCCAGGCGCATGGTGGGGCCTGCCTACACTCCTGCTGAAGCTCCAGCCATCGCCCGGCCTCTTCTCCAGAACATTCAGGAGACTGTGTTTCTGGAGGATATCCAAGGCCAGGTGACGGATGCAGTGAATGGGCTGGTCCTGGAGGCTACTCCCAGTGAAACCACCTGGTCTGGGGAGAAGTCTGTCGCTGGTGAGGATGATCTAGAGCAAGGCATGGAAGCCTTGGATTCGATTCCTGCTAATGGTAGAGCTGGTGACCAGCCCTCTGCTGCTGCTGTGCCTTCAGCACAGCCCTCCACCTTCCCTGCTTATGCCACTGATGGCAAATCCTCAGGTGCCCGACCTCTCCGTCGGAGCAAGGCAGGAGCTGGGGATCAGGCTGACATGAAAATCACGCTCCCTGAAGGCTTCAATCCACTCCAGGCCCTGGAAGAACTGGAGAAACTGGACAATTTCTTGGTCAAAGGTCTAAGCAGCGAGATGCAGCTAATGGAGCAGCCGTGGGAAGAGCCACCGCTGGGTCTCTCGGATCTCTTCCAGAGGGACATGCAAGCCTTGGGCATTCTGGTAGCTGAGATTATATTTGCCCCGAGGATTCGCCCGTCGAAACCCGACGCGTCGCTGTTGGAGCGGTTCCTGATGGTGCGTAATCTGTGCCGTTACCATCCCAAGGAGATCCCAGCCCCGCTCCAGCACGTGCTGCATGTCCTGCTGCAGCTGAACGTGCCGGTGGAGAAGCTTCTGAAGACCAGGCCGGGCAAGGGCACAGCGCAGTTGTTTGAGTACAAACCCATCTCCCAGGGCCTCCCCCCACCCTGTCCCATGCAGCTCCTCAGTCCCTTCAGCTCCATTGTGCCCTTCCCCACGTACTTCCCAGCTCTGCACAAATTCATTTTCACCTATCAGGCAAAGAAGGTGGAGGATGAAGGCCAAGGCCGGGAGCTTGTTTTCCAGCTGTGGCAGCAGCTGGAGGGGATCCTTTCTGAAATCACTCCTGAAGGCTTGGAGATTCTTCTACCCTTCATCTTATCTCTGATGTCTGAGGAGAACACCGC